CTAGATTTTATCCAACATCTAAAACCTCTTTGAGGATCTATCTCATACTCACGTCGTGGATTGTATACTGTATATCCACATGCCTTTAGATGAAAATATTTGGTTTCTGACCAAAACCAATTCCAAAGGGAGAACTTTTAATAACTCATTGGCTTGATTTGAATCAATGCTCCTGCATTCTTAGTATGAACATGTATACTGGATGTTCACTGAATTCACCTTTATTACCAATTAATTAATCTTGCAACTTCAGGTTACAGATTGATATCAAGTATACATACAACCATCTTAAAGTTTTCACTAGTAGATGATCAGTCCACATAGTAGCTTAAACCATAAACTTTTCCGTGTATACTTTTAATAAGTGACTAGATTCCAAATCTTGTCAACTGGTGAATATCATACTATGAATTTCTTGTGAGCATGGGACATATCACAAATCATTGAGAGAATCTTCTGGTTCTTCAACGAATGTCCATATGATTAACTTTCACATCATATCTTAACCAGATTGGTCTAACGGGTTCATGCCAAACAGTGAAGTTTTCATTAACCTTCCGGTGACCATAACTTCTGGTGTACGGCAATATTTGCTTTGATTGTATAAGCACATTACAATCTGCATTTAATCTTTCCATAATGGTATATAGAGCCTTGGGTAATATGCGTAATGTGAATGTATTCAACATTCTCTTCACTCATAGTCTCAATGTGATGATTCTAAAAATCTTCAGGATTTTCTTTAGCATAGTGTGAACTTCATCTCCTGGATGTTTCACTTGCTATATATATATGAGATTCTTTAATTCTCCCCCCTCGAGATGGTGATACTCTCAATACATCCATCTCAGACATAATCTCACTTTGAATCAACATCACACCCAACTTGGCTCATGTATCCCTGTAACTTTTAAGATTATGACGCATAAGCAATTTTGAATATGAGTTCCCATAGACTGTATGTTCTTCCAAAACATTCAATATGGATGCTCTTCTGGAGCTTTCAATACATATGCTCTTCTGGAGCCTTTTCTATGTATACTCTTCTGAAGTTTTCAATATATATACTCTTCTGGAGTATTCAAATTCACATATATAAATAACATAGAAAATAAATAGCAACTCATAAATTCATAGGATAAAAAGAACAGCTAAAAGCAAATCAAAATTAATAAATAAAGTAACATATATTTTTAAGTAAACTATATGCTTGAATCTCAATTATTTTCTTCAGGGATGAGAAGATCAGCAATTGCTCGTTTGTTACAATTTTTTATTCACTCACTTCTGGTGAGAATTTATAATTATTTTGACCTTTGAACTTGACTACATACACACCTATTCATAACATCATCTTTATGATCAGTTTTTGGCTAGTTTTATTTCTGTAGTCATCGACATTCACTTCAGGGAATGAAGGAGAACTATTTTAGTTCACCAATGAAAAACATTACTTGTCGAGATCATACCTTCTCCTCTCAAAATAGAGTTTTTGACCGATCATAATAAAATTTTGATCAAATATATAAAATGACCAGACTCTATCTATGGTCAAGTATTCTATTTTAAGGTCATCAACAACAAAAATGATCAGACTATATATATTAATAGATATTAGTCATATAAAAATAAGGAAGTCAATATATAATCATCAGAAGGCAAACATAATATAATTCTATTCAGATTGAATTAAAACGGATGAAGCAAGTCATGCGACTTCAGAATATAGATATGTTTGCTGATGGTTTCAAATTCCAAAAACAAAATTTCAGTATGATGGAATTTCAATTATAAAATTCATGATTATGAACTCATATCAACAATTCTCAAAATAATAAACAGCAAATGTCAAAATGAAGTAAACTATCAAGTTCGTTCAGTAGTGGTGGTAAAAATCAAACCAACGACATCAAACCCAAACATTAGAATATATGGCTAACCGATAAACAAGAGGAGATGATGCAACCTATTAATAAAAATTCTTCTTATGGCTCGATATATAAGATCAAGTTCCTTTTTCTTTTTGGGTAAAGTATCAACATTCATAAGTGAATTCTGTAAAATTCAGAACTTAAATCAAATAAGATCATAGACCAGCAAGCATCTAGGTGAACATATTAAATCTTAATTCCAAGTTCATTGATACTAAAGCATCGTTTAACTTATTAATCAAAACAATAGTACTCAAGATGGTTTATGATTATGAAACAAGCTACGGTCAAATTACATGTACACCAAAGCCTCGAATATTTCATCATGTTGTACACCAAGAAAATATGAACAAACAGTTTATAAATTCAAAGAATATTATGGTGAGACAGTAGTTAAACATATTAAATCAGATTATATTCTTATGATTTTATCAATATTGCAAATCAATATTTAAATATTACTTGATCTATAGTTTGCTGTGATTATTTGCTAATATTAATAAAGCATAAATATTCACTTATCTCGATGATTGGAGAGAATGAATTCTGACTTACGGGTACGACATCCAGAAACTGAGAAAGTGTTAGCTTAGGCTTTGCTCAGAATTGTACAAGTTTGTGCGCTCGACATCATTATCTATTAAAAATTGAATAATCAAACTGATGAGTATTTGAAAGAAAATCCAAACAACATGGTCAACTTATTATGTTAAAATAGAGAACTCAACTAGATCAAATAAACGATTCATCACCAATGACCAATCAAATATTCTTAGATATAATAGATCAAATGCTATACCAAATCAATTGACCAAACAAAATAAGGAATTCAAAATGCTTTACGATTATGAAATAAGCTAGGACCATATGGCATGTAATATAGATTATGTATTTCTTAATTACTTTGAAGACATTCACAAATATGCGTGACAAAATACTACTTAAATATAACTTTCAAGTTTATATAAAAAGAACATGCATTCAAACATGGCTCACAAACAGACAGATCTCGTCAAAGCAATGACTCATGTGCGTAGGGAAACATGGTAATATATCAAACCATATTCATGTCTCGATTAAATAAATCATGTATAAATCTATAAAGCAATAGATTAAAAGGATGATATAGTTAGATGTAATATATGGTACTTATCTTTGATAATGATGGAGAGTGGAGCATACGACGAGCTACATACGGCGGAGTCGAATAACTCAAACAAAGTGGGTTAGGGTTTTACTCATACGGCTACTGTTTTGTGTTTACTCAGTGGCTAGGGTTTTAACCTAATAAAGAGACTCGTGCTGATAACGTGTTATAGTAAGAAGAGAGAACAAGAGAAGAGAGGAATTGGTTGTGTCTTATTCCATTAGTAATGAGCTTCTTATATAGGATTACAATATAGGGTTTTCCTTGGAGAGGAATACACTTGAAGAACAAGTAGAACATTCTAGAATATGGCCGATAATGGGCTTCCATATAAACTAGTTATAACAGTCTATGTGTTATATACAAGAACATTTTTATTAGTTGATATCACATAAGGCTAAATAAAAGTAAGTCACGATGGTAAGATGAGCATTGAGGTATGATTTTAACATGTTAGGTTACGAGAATTGAGAGGCCACTCATATTAGTCAAATGTTACTTTCTTCTTTCGAATTTGATATAAAATTCTCTACATCCGTTAAGAGATAAAAAAGAAGTAAAGGGGAATTGTAAAGATATCCATATATAAGGTTCATAACGAAGGCTTTTTATTTATTTTTGGCACTTGTTTGCTTTTTAGGTTTTATGATTTTATCATAAAGAAATTTGATTGCGTTTACGAAACGTGAAGTGTTAGAATGTATTTTGTAAGTGTGGAGAAAACATTTCTTAATATGAGAAGCACAAGTACGTACAAGTTTTAAGAAGTCATTTTAAAATTTCTGATAAATTAGAATATTTGGAGACATCTAAACTAAAGATTGTATTCATGTATAAAAAGTTCGGTTGATTGTCACCTCAATAATTTGCTAGAAATAGTGTAGGCTTTAATTGTAAATTCTATCAAACACAAATATGTTTTTTTTTTAAGTTTAAATAAATTTCATACTATATGATAGAATTTTATCTAAAAAATAAATATTCTAGAGGTCTCTGACTTTTGAGATAGTAAAAAAAACTAAATTGATTTTATAGAAAATTAAATACAACATAAATTTATTAAATATGATATTATGTTACAAATATTCAATGAATTTTGCATATTTTCTTTAAGTTTTCAAATATGATGAAAACACACAAACAAACATACGTTTATAACAACTTTTCTTTCCAATAGAGAGATATAATAAAGACTATACGACTAAAAAACCAAAGGTTTTATGCATTTTTGATCAACATGTAGCAACAGATTTCCTCATTTGGTATAAAACATAATATAATTGAGTAGATGATGATAAGATAGTATCATTCTTTCTTTTTTGGTTGCAAGATATAATTTAGTTTAAGACTCAACATTGTAGATTAAATGTTTTAAGCTTTAACAAATACTATAACAAGAGGCAAAGCAATAAAACACATGCAAATGCTTTTTACTATCACTTCCAAACGCGACAGATACATCCAAGTTAAGCCCCATCCTTTCCTTAGCCCATTCACTAAACCTTTATATTTTCGTCTCTTTATGCTCTTGTGGTACTTTTGAGTTTTAATAAAGCTTTGAAAGTTAGCTAACCGATCAACCAAAATTTCAATCTCTAAACCAAACCAGTAACCAGATTCAGTATCTCTACTTTATTGATTCCTCCTATTATAGAAACTTACATTTTCAGTAATGCAGGATATAAGGCTCCAAATCTCTCCAAAATTGCCAAGGTTTCAATAATGATGAAACAATGTTTCTATATTGAGAAGAAAGGTGAGAAAACGTTTCAATAAACTCAGATTGTAGGAGTTTGAACACAACCAATTATCCCCTGTATATATATAAGTGAATTATATATACAAAACCTAAATTGTTCTCATTGACCTCAAGAATAAGAGCTTCAGAAGATTAGTATAGAATTTACACATTTGGTAGCTTCTCATACTCGTTGCTCCATATCACCTCGTCGCTTCAAATGTATCATTCCTTCACGAGCCAATGTTCCTCCAAGATCACCTATGATTCGAGATATCCTAACCTCAAGCCCTCTCTGCACTTCCTGAAACAAACTTTTGATGTTCTCTGCAAAACGTTCTGGATCAAAGCTGCTAATAGAAGCAGAGGATTCAGTAGTGATGAAGCCTACAAGAATCTCCACAAAGCCAGAAGCGATCTTGGACTGGATCTCCATCAGTTTCTGTCCTGTTGCCACTATGTATCTTTGCAGCTGAAACGTCTCATCCAAGAAATGCTCTAGCAATGTCTTGGCTTCTCCATTTGCCTTCATATTTCCGTTTATCTTCTCCGGATCACTCACATGCTATAACGGTTTAACGAAAAAGAAATCAGTTTATGTTAATAACAGAGACAGTAATGTAACTGATATGAGAAACAAGAACTTTAAATTTACCATTCTTTTGCACAAATCATCAATCTTCTCTTGTAGTGACTGATACCTAGTAACTTGCTTGTTGAGCAAGGTAATAAGCAACAACAGAGCCCTTTTGCCAGTATCACTGCTGATTTCGTCAATCTCTTGGCTCTCTTGTTTCCCAATATATCTCTCAATCATCATCAGCTGTTGTTTCAGCCTTTTGATCTTGAATGAAACTCCGAGAGCATGAAGATCCATTCTCCAAGGAGGATTTCCTGTGGTTGATGTTTCACTCTCCTTACAATCTGCTTTTCCTATTTTGGTAAAGAGACTTTCCTTGTCAGATTCTTCTTCAGCATCAGATTGAGCAGCTTTCAAAGTTAAATGTCTCAACTCATCAGGAGAATATGATTCCCTTCCTTTCTCCATCCCATTTTCCTGAGAATCTTCCTTTGATTCGAGTTCTCCTTCTGTTTTCGTGTTCTTTCTTCTACAACTCGTGTTGTTCTTGTTGGGCACCAAGCTTCTTATCTGTGTCTTGAGGGAAACAGATTCTTCTTCACCTCTCTGACTTACCTGTCTTTCCAGCTTTGTGTTATTGTGTCTCAACTGTGACATTTCTTGGCTTAGTCCTTCAATACAAGATCTCAGCCTCTTTGAGTCTAACTCAGAGTTCATCAGATGCAAACACAAAGCTTCAACCTTTTCATCTTTTAGTTTCATATGCTCTGTCTCCTGCTTCTTCCCTATCACTCTAATACAAAAATCTTCCTCTCCAAAACTCAAATTCTCACGCTTCTTTGCATTTCCTTCAAAATGCACCAATGGAGAGATTTCAGATTCAGAAGCAAGTCAAATTTGAAACAGAAACTATGAATGAAACTTCAATATCTTTAGAGGACTTACCTAGTTCACTGAGATCACCAATAGAGTAGGAATCCAGTATTTCCGGGATGACATCAGGATCTTTATGTAATTCAATGTGAGTAATGGAAGCAACATTGTTGGTTTTAGGCTTACTTGTGGCTTCGAAAGCAAACATGCTTCTCAGTGACCGTCTTGATTTTGAATTAGATCTCCATTTCTTTCCTTCCTCTTCTTCTTGCTTTGTTTTCACCTCTTTAACCAATGTCTGTATCTCGGTCACATCCAGTTTTGACTTCTTCAACATCACTGCAAGTATTAGATCTTTCTGTTCCAAATCTTTCCGCATCTTGATGATTTCTAAAGACAACTCTTCAAGGTCATGCCTCTTAGCTTCGATTTGCTTATTTGCACGACTCAGTTCAGCTTCAAGTTGTCTCTGGCTAGAAGCAAGCTCAAGGAATGTCTTCTTTTGCCTCCATAGCTCACAGGAATGTTCTTGCACATCTCTCTCTTGTGTTTCCTTTAAATCTTGAACTTCTTTTTCTGCTTTGGCCAGCTTTTCCTCTAACTCTTTGCATTTACGCTTCTCTTCTTCCATTGCTTTATCTTTGGATTCCACTGAATCTTGCTTTTCTTTTAATCTTTCTTGCAACTCCGAGAAGCTTTTTCTCTTCCTCTTCTCCATGTTCCTTAGCTCCCTCATCAGAGCTTCGATCTGGAGCCTAAATCTGTACCTCTCTTTTAACCAACTCTGTTTTTGAGACGCGATTATGCTAACTACTTTCTCGTTGGCTTTTGCATCTTCATTTCTCACTTTCTTTAGCTCTCTGATTTCACTATTGGCATCCTCAAGCCTCTCAAGAAGCTTACCCTTTTCTTCATCAAAGATTCTCCTAATCAGCAAACCAAATAGCATCATCTTGCTCCTCATCTCAATCTGTTTCTCATTTCCCATGGACATGGTGGTTGCTCTTTAAAGAAAAATAAACAGAGCAACAACAAAACCAATCTCTTTAGAGATGACTAAATCTGAATCTCAAGATGCAATTTTCCTATTATCATCCATCTGACAGAAGAAAACAAAACCAAAAAAAAAAAAACTCTTAGCAGAGCAACTTCCAATCACATTTAATGCAAAAGCTAATTATCCAAAGCAATAGTATCAGCAAAAATAGCAAATGTAAGAACCATAAGGTGTTCAAATTGATACCAGAAGAAAGAAAAGAAAAGATAACCAGAGAAGAAGATGTCCGAGATCTTACGCAAGATTTAGACAAAGGTTGAGTAAAACTGCAACTCCAAACACAAGAAATTAAATTGCAAGTACATGTGGTATGGCATGTTATATTGAGTGGGAGTTACATAAGCTTTTGTTTGGTTTCTTTTTTCTTTTCCAGATGGTAATGGCAGAGGAATAAAGTTTGGTGAATAAAATATCTGACACTGACACACATGTAAAAACACTGTCAAAAGAATCATGTAAGAGATCATCCTTACAGATAGATAAAAGCAAGAAATGTATGCTTCTCCTGTTTTTTTGTTAACACAAGGCCCTTCATGTGTCCCCACTTGCTCTTTCTTTTTCATTCCAATAATTGTTTTTTAATTCTACATTTCGTTTTTCCAACCATTGCAAGATCAGACTAGATTCCTTCTTCTTTGTCACCATTAACAACTGAGATAGCTTAACTAGATTTTGTAGTAAGATCCGATTTTCAGAATCTGAGAAAATTTCAGAATCAGATTTTTGAAGAAATTTTTGAGTTAAAAAAGAAGAATCAATCGTGAAAACTTGTAAAACTTAAAAGTTAAAATAGGGTACAGAAATTGAAAAGGAGTTTCTATCTTTTCCTTACTGTTGCTGCGACATAAATACTCTTCTTCAAGCTGTTATGAAGTGATTGGTGATTTGGAAACAAAAGAATTTTAAACCACAAAATGTTTAGAGATAATTAAAGTGGACCACATGAATTCAATCATTCCATTTCACTGTCAACATTAAGAACTTTAGAGTGTTTTTTTTTTGTAATTTACACAAGAAATGCTGAATTGTTCTTCTTTTTCTTATAATGGAAAAATCTTTCATTGAGGCATTAAAGAAACCACCGATCGCTTCTATTTTGAATGATCAACCTTTTTATTCCAATCAAATTGTGAAAACCAAGAAACTTCCAATTCCAAACACATCTTTTATCAAACCGAAATGAAAAAATTACGAGCTTAAGGCCCTGTTCTTTTTTTTTTATCCCAAACCTGTATTGATCATGTTCAAACCTGCATCATGTTTTGTAATAGTGTGCACATTCAGACTGAAACTCTATTGTTACATCAAAACAAACCTGCAGCATCAAACAATCAGAGCCAAACCCTGTTTGTAATGCTTCTGTGAGGGCTCTTGAGATCCGCATTTAGCAAAAGTCCGTGAGTGAATAACCATAGAGCTAAAACATACGAAAGCAAGTCCATGAACCAAATATCCAATAAATGCTAACATGTTTCAAAATCTCATGTTCATATTTTCTTATGTTTCATGTAACTATGAAGTTGAGTCTGAGAATAGTTAAGAGATCATCTATATGACATCATCTACTACAGCCATCTTTTTCCTCCTTTTAGGCTTTTACTCTATCGCCACTGTAATTGACAGAGTAGCAGAAGCGAGTATTTCAAGATTTTAGATAAAAGAACAATAATAATTCAATCACAATAACAGTGAAACATTAGTTCTCATTCACTTCCACAACCTAGTGAAATCAGAATTACACATTTAGATCACAAAGATTACCAAGAAAAACCCCATTCGATACACACTTCAAATTCATTTGAACACAGTCGACAAACAAAATAAGCAACAAAGATTCAAATTTTCAGACTTTGTAGCAACTCAAAGAGATCCTTATTTTATATGCAAAGCAACAAAAAAAAAAAACCTGTTTCCATGACCATTCACGTCGTTGAGTGGTCGAATTCTCCGAGCAAACGAGGAAATTGAAAGATCTCAAACCCAATTTGAGATCACAAAAGGTTCTGATCAGAACCTCTACAACATGAACAGGTCTCAATCCGTTAGAGACGAGCTCACCGGTGGTCAATGCTATCTCCCAGCTCCGTTTCCCCACACGATTTTCTTTTTACGGCATCAACAAATTTCCCTTTGATATAAGAAATAATACATTATTGTTTCCTATGTATTATTGTTTCTATCGCCAATGTAATTTCCAACTTCAGTGATTCCATTTTATTGTTTTTGAGCCGAATCAATTACAGAGGTTACATTTCTGCAGCTATGGCGAAAATGAGAGCATGACAGTGATCAACTCGAGCGAGTGAGCTCCATCGAAGAGAAGTGGCGGAGCTAGAAAAATTATTTACAGTAGCCCTGGGCATTTCGGGACGGGAATCCCGTTCCCACCCTTATTCGTTTAAAAATTCCCGATTTTTTCGGGAATGGGAATTTGTAATTTCCCGTTTGGAAACATTTATTTTATTCAAACGGGTAAGGGAAGGTTAAGGGATTTTCCGATTTTCCTGTTTACAAAATAAAAAATTGAAAATTAGATATATTTTCTTAAATGTCCCAATTTTTCAGTTAGACAAATATATGGTCAATCAAAAGAAAAAAAACAAACTAATAAATAGATATAATAAGAGAAATTTTTAAAAATACACTTCTTTGATATTAATTTTTAAAACTATATCTTCATGATATTAATTTTCAAAATTACATTTTTCTCAAATTTAACATTTAAGTCTTGGTTCAGTAATCACTGACTAGAGTTTAGATTTTAAGGTTTAGGATTTAGATTTAAGAGTTTAAGGTTAAATTTTAAAGTTTAAGATTTAGATTTTGGGTATAGAATTCTTTTATTCAATAAAAAAGGTGTAATTTTAAAAATAAACATCATAAATATGTAGTTTTGAAAATGTACATAAAAAATGTATAATTTGGAAATTTTTTCATATAATTAGCTTTTATCTACCATCAAAATGCTTTTAAATTCCTAGCATCACTGGTTTTTTTTCCATCTCACACCATTTTTCCTTTCATAAAAATAACTTTAAACTATCAAAACTAAACCCTAAACCATTAAAACTAACCCAAATTTTCAAAACTAAACTTTGAATCCTTAATACTAAACTGTAAATCCTAAATTCTAAATCCAAATCCAAATTCAAATATTTAAATTATAAACTTTTATAAAAATGGTATGAGAGGAAACAAAACTAGTAGTGGTGTGAGAGAAATTGAAAAACGTTATATGAATTTTCTCTAGCTCTTATTCATTTTAATGAGCTTAATTATAGTATTAGTTTTCTTTTCTTTTATTCATTCTTTATTAAAAGAAAATATTTTAGTGAAGTAAAGTTTAAGATAATTATTGGAGTGTACCTAGCTCCATTGATGTTTCTCAACATGAAATCGTCTTCAATCGCTGGTAAGTCCGCTGACCTGCAATTCTGTAACGGGTTGGCACGTTTAACCCGACGTCCATACGTGTCAGTCCCGCAGCCCCTCGGTAATTTTGCTAATAATTTAATGAATGTTATAACACGGTCGGTTTGTTAATCTCTACGTCCATACGTGCCACTCCATGAAGAGTCTACAGAATATTCTGATCCCATAGAGATGTAAACCCGGAGGATACAAATGTATAATGAATCAAAAGTTAAATATAGTGGACCTAGTGTAGCTAAAGTATGAACTGGGACGTTGTGGGATCTTTTTGGTAAACTTAAAAATGCATTTGAGGAATTCTTTCGACCAAAAGAAGATGTGTTATAGTAAGGGTTTTGTGCAAAACAAACTTCAAACTAAATTCATTTTGTAAATTAAAATTTTAAACTAAAAACCATGTAAATTAATCCTATAAAGTCAAAAGTCAATAGCAATATAGAATCTGAATATATATATATATATATATATTTGCAACAAAATTTAAAAGAAAACTAATTAAATATTGTAATGATATAATGTTTTTAGTCAGTGTTTATAGTTAATGAGAAATATATATACAAGTCCGTTTCAACGGCGATTTCTGACTTCGACGTTTGATTTATATATTTTTAAATTGGGTGGTTAAATTTGAAAAAAAAAATTAGTTTGCAGGTTTTTTTGCATATAACTCTTTTAAATTTTGTCACAAATATACGAATGTCCTATACTGCTATTGACTTTTGACTTTATAGATTGATTTACATGATTTTTAGTGAGAAATTTTGTGAAATACACCTTTTGAGGTGCAAATTTTCAAAACTACATCTATAGTGTGAAAATTTTCAAAAATACATCTTTCCCCAATTTTAATATATATGTTTGGATTCACTAATCCTATATTAGGGTTTAGATTTTGGGGTTTAGGGTTTAGATTTAAGGGTTCAATGTTAGATTTTAGGATTTTGGATTTATATTTTAGGATTTAGAGTTTTTTTACTAAATGAAAAAAGTGTAGTTTTGAAAATTGGCACTATAAAGGTGTATTTTTGAAAATTGGCATCTCAAGAGATGTAGTTTTGAAATTTCTCCATTTTTAGTTAAAAATTTGATTTACAAAAAAAAAATTAGTTTGAAGGTTGTTTTACACAAACCCTTATAATAATCTTCTCAATGCAATTATTTAATTTACCGATTAAAATATCAATAACTACTTTGCCGTCACCTTCAAAGACCAGAGAACGAATCGTCTCTATGACTCAATCTAAAAAAGATGAGTAGAAAATGATATGTTTGCAGGGATCAGAAACTACCCATATTGCTTGCATCATGTGTGCACACTCTTCCTCTTTGCCTCTTTACTTACAACCTACACGACTTTGCCTTAGTCGACTCATGTCAGAGGCTGGGCGCCGGACCTGACGTCATGGTCATGGTCATGATTGCAATTGAAACTCTTTATAACATTTTAAAACTATCTTTTTAAATTACAAGAAAAATAAAATATGAATTATTTTAGTTTTCTATGTCGTGAATCGCGCGATGATATAGTTAAGTCAAAATGTTACTCACGCCCACAGGCCCCACACGAACGTTATATTTCTCGGATTGGCCCGTGGTCGGGCCCGCCTTCGCCCTATAAAAGAAAACTGCCCGAGACAAATAAAACCGTCGAATTTCCTCTTCTCCTACCACAACTCTTAAAATCTTAAATACACACGATTTTGTCAATGTACAGATTATGGAGGAGTCTATCCATAAGTGGGGCGGCGAAAGATGTGGAGGTTGGTCTGGGCGGCTCATGCGGTTCCGCTTCCGCAGCTCATGATGGTGATGCAACTGTTCCACACGATTTGGAGACCGGTATAATAGGTGGAGATTATGTGGCCGCAGCTGACGATCGCCGGAGCTCTTGGTGGGTGCGTGCTATTTCTTCCACGGTAAGTAGTCCCCTCTGTTGGTACCGATCTGTTCATCTTGTTTCATTCAGTACTAACTAAGAATTAAGAATCTCCTCTTGTAGTGGAGGATGATGTCGACGGGGAGCAGAGCAAGTAGTGATCAAGTAAGCGAAGCAGAAGCAGCAAACGGTATTTCAAAAATTCAAATTCTCTTCTCATATACATTTCCTTAATTTTCTTTTTTTCAGTTATATTTTATAAAATTAAATTAACAGTAAAAACAATTTTCTTTACAAAATGAATTCTTTAATTTTATATCTATCTGTTTTTTGAAAAATAAATAAAATTATTTGATACTCCATCGTTTTTTTAACATCTGACTTATACTATTTGATACTCCATCGTTTTTTCTGTAACATCTGACTTATATTATTTGAATATTTGATACTCCATCGTTTTTGGTTTTTCAACAAAATAAAGGTATGATGTGGCATTTTCTATGTAAACGTTAAACCCGAGAAGTGAGAACTGAACCGGAGAATAATTTGAATTCTTGCTTAAACCTGGGTTTTGATGTGGGATCCATTTCCCGATTCTCAGTCGATTAATTTCGTTTCTCTTCCTCCTCTTTTCTTACCCGGAAATTTCAATAGTAGTACCTGCAACAACTTCAACCTCTGGAGGCTTTGCGATTGGATTCAACGAACTCAGTCAAGTAGTCAGAGATCGCAATCTTCAATATTTGAATCATAATAACGGGGCAAGCACTGCTGATAACCTCTTTAATTAATTCTTCGTTTATCTTCTGTCGATGAATTTTATGCTTCTTTGATTAGGATTTCCTCTAATTTACCAATTTGGTGATACAAAGGTTCGAGAATTATCAACTCGGCTGAAGACTGACCTGGAAAAGGGCATAGATCGGCGCGACGATGAGATACTGCAACGTCGGGAAGCATTTGGGTCAAACATATATCCTTGCCAAAGCGGAAAGCGTTTCTGGGTACGAAAAATTAGACAAGAATGTTTGGTATTCTAATTTTTGGCTAAGCTTTTCAACTGAAATCATGTTTTTTTTTTTTTATTAACATTGTTTGTTGTAGAGCTTTATCTGGAAAGCTAGCCAATTTCCTCCTTCTCTATTTATGATGCTTGCCACTGTAATCAATTCGCTGCTGCGAATAAAGAAAAAGGTGACTTGTTACTCTACAAGATGATCTAATCAGCTTTTCTTTGTTACTAATGTTTAACATATTATCTGCTCGCTCTGACTGCAATTCATGGACTTTTGCAATTCTGTCTCACTGGTTTCTTAACCAACAACACTGTTGTTTTGGTGTTGAACTGTTGATTCATCATTTTATTTATCCACTTATCCTGTGGCTTTTTGTCATGGGGATTACTTTTAGATTTGGGCTCTTTTAAATGAATATATTTCGTGTATCTTACTCTCATGACACTTGCAGGCTATCCACGATGGATGGTATGTAGAAGCTTGCATCATTTTGGCCACTGTTCTTGATATTATTGTGAGAGGTATCGTAGTACTATCTTTGATGCTTCAAAACTTGTTTTTGTACTTCAATCCTCAGGCGAGTCTGATTTATTTTGCATTTTTCAGCTATCACTGAGTACAGGCAGTCTTGTCAGTCTGCAAAATTCAGGGAGGAGAAAAGATACGTACGCGTAGAGGTGTGTTCTTGCCGATGGGTTTCTCCGTCATTTGTGTTTGGTGTTGCCCACAATTTGTGCTGAACGTTTTTTTGTTGCAGGTAATTAGAGGTGGCAGAAGAGTCTCGGTTTTTACTTACGATGTTGTTGTGGGCGATATTGTTCCCCTCAAGAATGGTTATCAGGTAAGCATCAAACTTTTAAGAGTAATCATTCTTTAGCTTCACAATTGTTCTAAAGTATGTATGGTCAATGTTGCAGGTTCCTGCAGATGGTGTCCTGTTCGTTGAGAATTCATTGAAGATTGACGAGCAAGAAATAACTGGCTCACACGGATATGTATGATTTACCCCTGTCGATGAGCTAAATCATTATCTCTCCTGTTTTTCTAATCTCTCTTTTCAATTACCAGGTTCGAAAAAATCTTCTAAAGGACCCATTCCTATTATCTGGCTCAAAAGTGATAGAGGGCATAGGTACAATGCTGGTAAGCTCTCTCGCCACATCTCTTGATTTCATTTTATGCTTACACAACCATCTCATTTGATATTATAGCTGCTTTTAGCAAGAAACACAAATTTTGAAACTTGGAATTGGGGCAGAGACATACTTGGACTCGATAGTTCTGTTATTATGAACACGGTTCTATTATTGTAAAATTCTAACTTCCGATTTTCTTGTCTGGAAAAAATAAAATTTCTTCTTTAAGAGAAGATTGACGTCCGTGCTTGCTTTCTGGTTCTTGATCTTCTATTTCACTTTATTCTCTCCCCATGTATTTAATTAAGGTTACAAGTGTGGGAATAAACACTAAATTGGGGTCGAAGATGGAGACTCCACATGAGAGTGATGAAGAAAAGCCCTTTCAGGTCTGTGTTTATTGATTACTAATTCCTTGCTACCTTATGATAGTTTGCGCATTTATCATCTGTGACTCGTTTTACTAGGTATACTTGAGATGGCTTGCAAATTCTGCTAGCTGCTTAGTGGTTTCGTTCGCTTCAATCGCCTGTATTGTTCAGTTATGCCGGTAAGTCCATCTTTTCATTATCTAAGATCTACTGTTTCATCCTGGCAATGTGGGAACTAACAAGTAACAACCCTTTTAATTCCAGATACTCTTATGGTCAGAGCAGAAATTCAGATGAAGCAACAGAATTTGTGATCAAATCTCTGAGTTTTGGGGTACGAGTGTTCTCAACTTTACATTTGTGGCTACAGTAATGCTATTTCTTTGTAACCTTTCTCGCCAAAAACATGAATTTTGCAGAATGCGACAGTATTTGTGGCACTGCCTGTTGGACTTTCTGTAGCTGTTCTCTTGAAGTAAGTCGCCTTTTCTTTTAAAAATTTGTTTCTGGTAATATGGTTTCACACTCTATTGCTGTCCAGAGAGTTGGCATAACCTTTAAGTATGCACATCTTCTGGTTTTGTCATTGTTACTTGTTATTGTTTCTCATCTTATCATTTTCCTCACTACACCAGCGTTGCGGATACAACGAAAAAAATGAAGACAGACAACGCTTTGGTACTCTACTTTTCTATTCCCCAAATTCTCCTATGTCCTTAGAGCATCAACAGGTGCTAAACATCTGTAAATGTCTTACAGGTGCAGACACTCTCTTCTTGTGAAACAATGGGGTCGGTTACAACTATTTTGTGTCATAAAACTGGCATTTTGAACTTTGAATGAGGCAAGTGTTTTTCTTTTATATGCAATCAGCTCTTTCCTGCTTCCTCTTTATCTTCCTGAGTACCCATTTAAGCATTCATTTTCTGCTAAGCAGATGTCGGTGGTTGATGTTTGCGCTGGAGGTATAAGAATGCAGGATATGGATGATGTTTCACAGCTGCCCCCACTGCTTAAAGAGCTATTAATAGAAGGCATTGCCCAAAACACAAATGGTAGTGTTGTTTTTGAAACGGTAATTGTCTCTTGGATCATGGTGTTGAGTTGGACAGGATCTATTTGATTAGATTCCTTTAGTATGAATTATCATAAACAAGTTTGTAACGAATTATAGGGAGTGGTTGAACCAGAGGTTTATGGATCACAAACAGAACAAGCCATTCTTATCTGGGGGAATAAGGTTTGGTTTCTTTCTAGTCTTACGTTACTAACTTACTATGTATATAAAGTTTATAACTAAGGACTGTTGGTTACTCATATTTTGTAGTTGGGAATGAAGTTTGAAGATGCTAGGTCAGCATCAGTAGTCCATCATACTATACCTTTCAATCCAAACAAGAAATATGGAGGCGTAGAACTAAAGGTAACATAACCTTGTCTATGTTGTTGCTGAGCAGCAGATATATATTTATTTACCCTTTACATTACACAGATATTCTGGGCCAGCTTCGCAAGAACTCTGCAATTTTTTATGTCTGCATTTTTGGCGCTATGTTTGATTCTTATAATTCATTTATAGCTTGGTACACGATCCCACGTTCATTGGAAAGGATCTGCGAAAGTTATTCTGAGTTCATGCGTATCATATGTGGATGGGGCCGACAACCTCAGAGATATTGATGATCAGCAGCGAAAGGTTTGTTTAAGAGCGTAGATTACTAATTCACAAATACACTATTGTATCTTGTTCGTTTCTTTTTTTTTTAATATAAAGGTCCATTCTCTCTTTAGGTATTTGAAGAAAGAATTGAAAACATGTGTAAGGGACGCATGCGTTGTGCTGCACTTGCTTATCGACGCTATGAACCGGAAAGTCTTCCAACCATTGAGGAACTTTCTAGACTACCTCAGAACCTTGTTTTGTTGGCTATTATTGGTATAAAGGTAACATTTCCAGCACTCATTCCAAAAGTTATGTTTATGTCAATAATCTTGGATATGTACAATCTCTCTTTCTGAAGGATCTGTTAAAAATATTTTTAGTTTGTTGGCCCTTTTATTTCTGTGTTGCTCCCATGCGCTGTCTTAAATCTGCATTCTCTTGTTCATCAATTTTTTATGGCACGTGCTTACTCAAGTTCAGGATTAAGAATTCCTTAGTTACGATGATTATTTCTGCAGCTCAGTGATATTCGTTTGACATTAACTTTAAATCTTTAACCAGTCCGTCGTTATATTTGGATATGCAATGAGAACAGGAACCTGGTTCCACTTGCTTCAAAGCCTTTATAGTATTTTCGTTATCATTACTTATCCAGTGCTTTATAAATAACGTGCAGGATCCTTGCCGGCCAGGCACAAGGGATGCGATCCAACTGTGTAATTCCGCAGGTGTTAAGGTGCCATGTTTATTTTTTTGTATTTGTTATGCTACAGACTGTTTTACTATTCTTCCTCTTGCATGACACTTGAAGTTTTGTGACCTTTTGTTAGTTGAGAGAGAAATTTTCTTCTCGTTTTGATTTTTTTTTTTTTTTTATCTCTAACTGAGTTTGGCGTAGTTATATTTTATAAATTGTGTGGCAGCACTAATCATCTACCGTTAGGTACTTAGGTACTTTATGATATGCGGTGACACCATTTAATATCTTTTTGCAGAAGACAATAATCGATATTTTGCTTTAGATCAACCCCTTTCATTGGTTTACTTTCTAAGTGGAATATGTTGACTTTCAGGTTTGCATGGTGACGGACGATGACGTTTTGACTGCACAAGCAATAGCAATGGACTGTGGGATACTAGAGGTTACATTAGGGATTGATGATGTAAGGACAGGAGCTCAATTTCGGGAGCTTTCCGATGAAGAAAGAGATCAGATTGCCGAAAACATCTTAGTATGAATTCATTCTTTTACATTTAAGCTTTGACATATAAATCCATCTGTGCTTGTCATGATACATCGACGAGTGGTGTGGAGATAAGATAATTGGATGCAGTATCAGTTGTCACACTGTCACACCTTGCTAAATGAACTACTTGTTCACATTTATTTGATGGGAAACTAACTATGTTGGTTAGATTGCTAGGTTTTCTGTACACAATTTTTTTCACTGGTCTATTATTAGCCGTCTGGTTCAAGAACTGGATTGAGCCAAATATTAACACACTACTACTATATGTGAAGGTTCTTGCTCAAGCCACTCCCAGCGACAACCTTCTGCTTGTCAAAGCTCTGAAGAAAACAGGGCATGTAGTTGCAGCCACGGGGATGGGAATACATGATACAATGACACTACGTGAGGTCTGTCATAAACTCATCATACTTTCAAAGAGAATATGAATTATAAACACTAAAAGACATCACTAGAACCCACGATTATCGTTTCCCTTGCACAGGCGGATGTTGGCCTTGCAATGGGAATTGGAGGGACAGCAGCAGCAAAAGAGAGCTCCGATATCATTATATTGGATGACAGTTTTGTCACGATTCTCAAGGTTTGTTTATTATATATGCTTGGTTGAAATGACGAACTTGGGCAGGTGGCAATGAAATTTCTTAGAAACGTTTTGATTGTGCTCAGGATGATACTAGTGGATTGTTTTGACAATGCAGGTTATTCAATGGTGTCGATCTCTATACACCAATATCCAGAGATACGTCTTATTCCGGCTCACTGTCACTGTATCAACCGTGGCTATCTGTGTGGTTGAGGTTGTGGTTTATGATGCATTTCCACTTTTCGCCGTCCAGGTTAGAAAATGTTATCCTTTTGACCCTTTGTTACTTCTTTTTTCTTGTAATTGTTTTTACTAACCCAACCCTTCCTTTTTGCCTGATGCAGCTTCTGTTGCTAAATCTTATTGTCGACATCTTTGGAGCATTAGCGTTGGCATACAGACCAACACCTCAGCACCTAATGGGAAAGCCACCAGTTGGTATAAGGTACACAGAATCTTAAGGATACACGAATTGATTAATAAGTCAACTATAGATAGTTGTATCTTTGCCGAAATCCTGGAAGAAACAGTTGGTTTTGCTACTGATCGTATACTTTTTTTTTGTGTTCACTTTGTGTTTTCAGAGACGATCTTATAACCACGACGATGTGGTGCAAGTTGGTGATACAGGTATGTCGCCTATAATCTTTGATTTTTCATGTGTGAGCACTATTGAAAGTAGAGACCTCTAGAAATAATGCTTATGTGATGAAATACCTTCCTCCAGGTGATTTACCTAGTGCTGATTCTGGCGCTCATAAATTCTGACACGTTACTGAAGTTGAAGCATGGGAATACGGGTGATGCTGAAAAAGTGAAGAACACATTTATATTCAATTCCTTGGTCTTCTGCTTGGTAATGTTCGAATTTTTTTCACTCTTTTAATCAACGTTCATATGAAAATAATTAAGTTGATCATCTCTGTCTTCTAATCTTCTATTTTTGTAAAAAAAAAATTGCAGGTTTTTGGTGAGTTTGAGATCAGAAGTGGAGACCAAACCTTGAAAGAAATCCTTAGAGACAATATGTTTCTCATTACAATAGGCTCAACTATTTTATTTCAGGTAAGTCCTTTTGAACAAGCGAACAAAACATATATCTTCTTTTCTTCTCATTTACTTGTATATCACTAAAACATATATGCACTTTTTTTGTTCCTTCTGTTCAGATAATCGTAACACAGTTCCTGGGGATTTTCATATCTGGCGTTAGGCTTGACTTCAAAAATTGGGTCTTGGCAATTCTTGTGGGACTTGTCAGGTTCTCCTCATAAAGATCCTCTCAACTACTTTCTATAATTTTGACTCCGGTGTTTTCTTATGTTTATTTAAACTTTTTTCAGCCAAGCCGCCACTCACTTCCCTTTGCAAGCATTTCAGTATCTCCGTCGCTGAGTTTTGTCTTTACCGTAAGCACATTTCACTCCCTAATCTCCTAATTAATCACACATGAATAGTCTTATTTTTGTTTTGTCCACAAATAAGTAACTTCTCTGACCTTACAATCCTCATTTCAGGTCAGTGATTGGAGCATCCTGCTTGGATGCTTAGCGTTTGAATTTGCGCATGAGATTTTATATAAAGAATATACAGTATTGTGTGTGTGGGAATTAAGCTTCACTAGTTACATTCATTTATTTATTTATTTATCCATTTCATTTTTCGAGCTACATGTATACTATTCTCTCTCTCTCTCTCTCTCTTTTAAGATCAAAGCCTCTTTTATATGCAATCCAACATGGTATCAGATTGAATTTTTGCTCAATTTCTCTGTTTTCCACTTTGTTTTCTTCAATATCTTTAATCAGTTCCGTTTCATGAGCTTTTAGATTTAAAATCTTTTCATCTTTTGGATTCAGCTGATTCGTCGCGTGATTTGGCGCCTTGAAATTTGTTTTTTCCGACAAATCTATCTGAATTTGAAGTTATGAGTTATGACTAGAAAACGTCATTCTCGCATTGGCTTTGACCGTGCCTTTCTTCGGCTATATCTTGAGCCTCACGGGATCGTTGGTTAGTGTCACGATCGCTGTCATATTACCGTCTGCTTTCTACTTGAAGATTTGCTGGGACGGGATGTCGAAGTTCAAGAGAGTCGCGAATCTCGGGTGCGTTCTTGGAGTTTTGGGATCGTTTGATTCCTCCAAGTCGCTTGTCAAAGAGCTTGTTCGCGTTCATGGAGGTTGAGAGCGCGGGGTTTATTTTATAAAAAAGGATCGAGAAACATTGTTGTTAAAAACGATATGAGTAACCAATATATTTATATATAAAAAATCTGCATATACAATAACTTTCCGGTGAATTCAACATTTACTTCCGGTGAATTTGGTGTTTGTGAAAGAGAATTAATTTCGGATTTACCGCCAAGCACTTCCAATTTCCTGAATCTGACACCAACTATTCTTTTTCTGTGATCTAAAGCGACTTTAGATTTCATCTAACCACTTAACTCTAGGACTTGTCCTTATTTTCACCAACTTACAGTTTTGTACAGCCAACCCTCCACTAGGACCACCACCAGTGTCAGCCGGAGATCTGGAAACCCGACCCGAGGAAAACCGGGAAGGATCCGGTGATCTTGATATTCCTGTAGCCATGCATGTACGTAGATGGTGCTGAGGACGAATAAAGTAATGTTCCATTTTCAGGTTTCGATCATGAGTTCAAAAAAAAATTGCATAATTGATAAAATGTAAACTTTCATAAAAGAAAAAGGTTAGAAATTCTATTATAAAAATGTAAACTTTGGTAAAAGAAAAAGGTTAGAAATTTAAAAAAACAGAGAAAAAAGAAATCGATAATGACAATTAGTAAAATGTAAAGTATACCTAATGAATGACAGTTTTCCTATATACAGAAAAAAAAATTGTATACTTTGACAAAAATGTTTAAAATATTTGTAGTAAGATGACAAAAAAAAACTTCTGAAAAGGAAAAATACTAATAGAAAAAGGGAAATTTGATTTGATTGAAAGCTATATAAACATAAGGGAATGAACTTAATTTCTCAACCAAAATATTCTTAGTAGCTATCATCATCTTTCATAGTTTAAAAAAAATATTCATATTAGCTAGAATATGGCTCAAGAAGCGGATTTAGATTTGAGTTTATCTCAATATGATCCATGGGTTATAAAAAAGAAGTTAACCGCTTCTGATACTTCGATGAATGGTAAACTTCTCCTACCGCGAAAAGAATTATTAGATTCTATAATTCCGCTGATGAGACAGGCTATGGCCCAGCAGATAGGAACAGAAAACGGTGTTGAAGTGAAGGTCCATGTTATAGAGGAAGGTAATGAAGCTGATGACTACACATGGATCTTAGTTAAAGACATTGACAACACCTATTTTTTGAAGAGAGGATGGGGCCCTTTTGCTAGAGCCAACAACTACCAAGAAGGCGATGTAATTGGACTTATGTGGGATCAAAGCTATGAACGATTTTTGCTTCACAAGATAGTTCAATATTAGTCGTTTTCTGAGATATCAAAGAGTTTTTCTACTATTTACTTAAGTGGTTTTAGTTTATTATTGTTTTTTTTTTGGTTTTTTTTACTTAAATGTGGGTTTTATGAATAATATTTAATTTTTTTTTTAATTTCAAGTTTTGGTCTTTTATTCATCAGAAACTCTTATATCTCATGTAAGAGATAATAATGTTAATGCTAATTATGCCATTTATGTTTAATTCATGTCGGCAACTTTTCTTCTTCTGTGATCTAAAGCGACTTTAGATTTCATCTCATATACAACTTCTATAATATTACGTATACACTGTTATGATAATTTGTATATAAACAGAACACTATATACTATACAGGGTACAGAAGATGTACACAAAGGCTCTTACGCTTCCTACTTACAGACTGCGAATCCGAAGCTTTTACTTTCATCTCTCCTCGTTTAGCAAATCACAGAGAGCATGAGCACAAAAAGTTCTGTCTTATTGTTTTGACTTCTTTTCCTTAATTAGATTTCTGTATCTTGGTTTCTGGAGAAGGTCTTGGATAAAGAACGAGTGCTAGCGCAAAAGCGACCCCAAGACCGACCACTCCGCTAAAAGGCTGTAACGGACGTTTCCCTGCAGTCCAAACCGGTGAACTCGGGTTGTACGTGAGGAATCCACCAGTGTGTAGTACAAAGCTTGCTGCTATCATTCCTGTTCGCAACCCAATTGGCACTATCAGATTCCCTTGGCTTCTCTCACGAGCCCCTGCCAGCGCCAACGGACAGAAGCCATAACCCTGGAATTGATCTCAGGGATCTGCAAGAAAAGAAACACACACTTATTATGCTACTAATCTCAAATGAGATGAGAGCGACTTATATGTTACATGCTATTGTATAAATACCTCTGGAACAAGGCAAATACGAGCCCTGTAATGATAATGCTTTGATGGTATCCCATATCTATAGCAATCTCGTTAGGCATCCATGACCTGAAGAGCAACTCTTCCACAAACACAATAAATGTCGCAGTTGCAAATCCCCTACTCTCTTTCCCCACAGCATAACAAGAATGAAAACAGCAACATAGAGCCCAATGGCTCATCAATCTTCCAAGTTTTCTCAAGGGACTGAAGCAACTCCATTGTCCCTTTCCAGATAAGGGAGGCGAACAAATCCCGCATGATTATTTAAATTTTTCTGGGTAACAATTTGAATTTTTGCCAATGAGCCAATTTGGATCAAGAAACACATACACATTTGCCAAAAATAATTCCAAGTAAAAGAAGACAAAGCCCAAAACAAGGTCCATTTAGTGTGGGTGGTCCGGATGACTGTTGGTTTGGGTGGATAAGCTTGGTTGGATCTAGTAATAATCAAAAGCCATTGAGGACAAGAGTGTAAATAACCGACCACTTTTTCATTTAAATAAATAAAAACTATTTTTTTTTTTTTTAAAGAGAAAAAAAATTCGATGCTGAAGATCAATAATCCGATCTAATTTCACGACAGCTTCTCCTCTCTCTTCTAAACTTTCTCTCCCTCGAGTCTCGCTGCCGATTCTCTCTCTCCGGCGAACTACACAGGCGAGCTTTCTCTCTCCTCTCTCTCTTTTCTTCTTACATCGACCCTTTGTGTTTTTAATTTGTTCCAGATGGGTTTGTTTGAATTAATCTGGTTGGGTTTTTAATCTCTTAATGTTAGCACAAAAATTCCAATTTCTTTATTCAGTTTCCGTTTCATGAGCTTTTAGACAAAGCTATCCGAATTTGAAAAAAGTTTTTGGAGTGCTCATTGTTTATCAAAAGCCCAATAGAAAAACAGAAAAGCCCAATTTCTTCATCACGGACTCTTTCTTCTTCTCCACCGTCACGAGATGCGTCCTCGCCATTGAAGATCCGTTCGTCTTTGCCTCTCCAATTTCATCTCTGTTTTTCAAAATTGAAAGAGAGATTTTGTGTGATGGGTGGTCTGAATATGGAGGAAATGCCTTTGTCGGCGTTGTTCGAGCAAGCAAGGAAAATTCATCTCGCGGCTTCAGAGTCTCGTGCCGATCAGGTGGAAGCATCTAACTTTTTCTGTATACGAAATTCGATTAGGGTTTGAACTGATTAATTTTTTTTTTTTAGTTCTACTGAATTGGACATTTCTGACGAATGCTTTGTTCTCCTTTCTTGGTTTGTTAGGATGTAGTGAAGAAAGGATGCGGGATGTTACACAAGTGTGAAGACATGGTCGGGAAGCTGGGGCTTTTCTCGTCTAACGAGACCAAAGAAGATATTAGCACGAACAATCTCAAGTATCTTTTGGTAATTCTTCTCTGCAATCGATTTTCTGTTTGTTATGTTGCTGTTCTAGTTTCATTTTGTTAGGTTAGTGTTGAAAGAGCAACGTCGTGAGTCTAGAATCTGTGATTCAGTATGGTCTCAGAGCGAATTTTCGATTCAGCTGATTCGTCGCTTGGTTTGGTGCATCGCAATAGTTTTTCCGACAAATATATTCGAGTATTTGTTCCTTTTCTAATTTCAATTTCTCAGAGAATTTGAGAATCTTTCTAAGACTAATACAAGTGAAACAAATGGTTGAAAATCGGATATCTTGGGCTAGTTCTCATTTTCTTTTTTAGCTACTGAGATTCTATATGTGAAGTATTGTAATTTGATTGTGCCCCTCTTCCGTTGGGCTTAGCAGTTACATTGTGTGTGTTTGAGAGTCTTGACATTGTGATGATGATGATCAGGTGCCTTACTATCTTGCGGAGTTGACAGAGAAAGTCATACAGGAAGACCGGATTCCGATTGTCAAGGTCTCACATGCTAAGCTCAAGGTGAGTCAAAAGCAAAGTTGCTGCATCACTTTGATGCTATCTGCAAGCTTGAGTGAGCGTTGCGTTTTGATTGAGTAATTTGTGGTTGATGTTGTCTAGGAGTTCCTTTCCTTCTGTGAGGCAATGGAGCTTGTCCCTGATGAGGAATTGGAAGCTTCTTCACGACAAGGCTCTGCTCCACCTGCTGATCGAAGAGCTCTCAAGGTAGTTACAGATCAAGAACCAGCCCTGTTCTTTTTGTTTCTTTCCATTTGTGGATTCTGAAAATGAAACTTCATCTTTGTAGATAGCGAGGTTCAAACGTCAAAAGGCTGCAGAGTCGAAACTCCTTGAAATCAAAGAGAGGAAAGAGCGACGTGGACGATCAACCAAAGCAGCTGCCTTGTCGACTCCAGTTGAAGCTGGTGAAGAAGATATTCCAGATGATGACAGTGAAGAAGAGAGAGAGGTTGGTTCGTCCCCACTTTTGATGTTGTTGCACTCACTGCTTCTATTTCTAATTCTATTCTTCTGCTGAGTCTTCGTGTTATATGGGGCTCTTTCTTTGCAGGCGTGGCTCTCCACACTGAACTTGGCTGTTTGCAAGGTTCGTCTAAAAAAACATTCTAATGGCTTTTCACGAAGATTTTGCTTTTACCTGATGGTTGAAGCTTCGTTGCAGGCTATTGATCTGCTGGAAATGCTAAAGAGAGAAGAGGAAATGCTCTCTGCCATTAAGGAAAAACAGTTAAAGGTACGTTTTTGCTTTTCTTCACATTGTAATGACTATTTTGTTACTAAGCGTAAAACTAAGAAACTGTTTGTTATGAATCTGATGATTAGCAGAACGGAGAGGATGTGTTTTCTCGTGATGCTCTTGACGACCGCACAAAGAAAGCCGAAACGTGGCACAGAGATGCTGCTGCGAGAGTACAGTACTCTAGAGCGGCACAACCAATCACTTGTGCCACGTTTGCACAAGATGTGTTGGAAGGAAGAGCTTCAGTCTCACAGGGTCACGAACACAAGAACCAGCCTCTCATATTCGGTCCAGCGAGTATTATCAATGGAGCTCACTCTACTGAGAGAGAGAGGATGATAGCTCAGGTTTTCCAACCAAGTCACAGGTAGAAACACCAAAAACTCATACTCATGACAACAAATCTTGTAAACAAGAAAAGCCGATTAGTTAAACTCGGGGTTCTGTAGGATGCCGACGATGTGCATAGAGGATGCTGGATTAACGGAGATGAATATAATGAATGATTGGCAAGAGCAGACTAAAAAGGCCATTGAAGAGGCAAGCACCTCATGGCACAATGACAAACCTCCGTGGAAAAAGGATGAAAACGATGAAGATGATGATGAAGACGAGGAAGCTGTGATGAAAGCTAGAGCTTTCGATGACTGGAAGGATGATAATCCTCGTGGTGCTGGTAACAAGAAACTCACTCCTTGTGGCTGAGATTTGAGTACCTAAGTAATACACATAGTTAACACTTTCTCTCTCTTTTGCTTCTTATTTCCAAAACACTCTTCTTTCTCACTTGTGTCTGTTATGTAAAAACATCTTTCTAGTTTCTACTGTATGCCCCATAGACAGATGATTTACTAATGGAGTAACTTTTATTTTCGTGTTTTTCTTTGGAATATTATTTTTAAATTGAAACTGGAAAGTGGGAACCATGTTTCTTTGTCCTCCATTATTGTGTGGCCCACGTTCAAACACAGCAACGATTTATGGAATCAAACAGCAAAAGAAAAACGAGAAAGAGATATACAAAACAACACACATGTTGCTTGTGAATGATTAACTTCAAAAGTACCA